TGTAGGGGGTTTACAAAGGCCACATGCCTCGACCGGAGACTGATGTGGGCTGGAAAAGGAGAGATTTTAACTAAAGGAGCCACTCCAAGACTCTTTCCAAGAATCAAGCACAGACACTCCTTCCCCAGAGACATGTCTTCCCCACACACCTTCAAGTGTCCATTCTCCCATCAAAAAATGTTTCTTCTGCTACCTTTTCTCTCAGCCTGTCTGATGAAAGAAAGTCCAACATTACATTGATTGTTCACGTGGCCCTAATGATCTCATATTTTTAGAGATTGATAGAATTTACTGGCATCAGTACAATTGGATATTTTGTGTCACTTCTTGTCAGTAAGGAAGCTGCATAGATCTTCAAACTAAATACTATTGCTTCCAAAGGATTAAATGTGTCTTTAGACTTGTTTTCTGTAAGGTTTCACACCTGAAATTAGTTTACAATCCTATCTGAACTTCACAGCTTGAGTTCTAGTATGTGCCCCTGAGAGCCAGTCACCTGTATGTATATGTTTATGTATGTATGTATGTATGTGTATATGATTGGTATTGCATATAGTATTAACCCATTGGGTTAGTTTGAAGGTTACAGGCCTTTTGGTGTTTCATTAGTCTGTAAGTAATTTTTTCTCTCCTTTGCTTTTTGTTGTGACTTTCACTGATTCATACTTAATAGTTTGTATGTTTTTGTTTCTTATCCACTGTCTGTTAGTTGGCCCATAGCTTTTCTTTCTGACTCTATAGTCCTTCAGTTTTGAGGTAGACTGAAAAGGATTTCTTCTGTCATTTAAAGATGCCTATCTCTCATTATGGTCTATATTTTCAAACAGTTTTGAATGGTTCTTTATGTTTATGAACAAGTTATCTTTCCATCTATTTGATTGTTTCTGTTATTGTGTTTGTGTGTTTTTTACTATTCACAAGAAGAATTTATTCAAAACAGCACCAATACTGAAGAAGATTTTTCCAAACAGGATAATATCTAGAATTCCTATTCACCTACATCAGGGGTAGGCAACCTAAGGCCCGGGGGCCGGATGCGGCCCCCCAAGGCCTTTGGACCGGCCCCAGGCTGGTCCTGCCGCCGCTGCCGCCGCCACCCACCATGATGATATTGATTATTTTTGTTATTACTTGTTCTTGGGGTTTTCTTGGCAAAATCTCCACAGGGGTTTTGCCATGGCTTTTCTGGGGCTGAGAGAGTGTGCATGCATATTTTTTAAATTATTTTTATATTTATTTATGTAATTGTTTATTTATTTTTGGTGCTTCGGCCCTCCAATTGTCTGAGGGACAGCAACCCGGCCCCCGGCTCAAAAAGGTTGCCTACCCCTGACCTACATCCTTACTTCATTTACGTTTGGTTGTGCCAGCTTTGAGCATAGTACTGTTTGTTCCTGCTGGTTTAGCATTTTGTAGCATGTTGTTTCATACATACTGAATATATTTTGGCATTGCTTGTGCATTCTTCATGTTTATACCAGTATACAATTTAGTATTCATTCAATGTTTTTGTGGCTTTGGGTTTTGTGTATCTAGATTTTGTAATTTCACGGTTTACTTCTTATGTTTGTTGGAGTCGTGAGCTTTTATAGCATTTTGTTTGTTGTCTGGATGTTCAGTGAGCAGCCTGGTGATCTCCTGTAGTAGTATGGAAGTAACACGCATAATTTCATCTGTCATAGGCAGTGGTAGAAACATGTACTGTCAGCTCTCATTGCCATGATTGCCATATCCACATTTTTTTTTATCCATGGATTCAACCATCCATGGCTTGAAAATATTTCAAATATATGTAAATTCAAAAAAGCAAACCTTGATTTTGCCATTTTATATCAGGGACACCATTTTACTATGCCATTATATATAATGGGACTTGAGCATCCACAGATCTTGGTATCCGCAGGGGGTCCAGGAACCAAACTCTAGTGGATACCAAGGGCCCACTGTATTAAGGCAAATAGTCAGCAATGTCTTATATTATTGTGATATCTTCACAACAAATAGGTTAACACTGCTTGCATGATGACCAGCTATTTTCTACTTAGTCCTCATGGTTTTACATGCATGTAAGAAGCAACATGAGATTCTTCAGCAAAAGGCAAAATAATACAATATTTGGTTCTACCTCTGCACTATAAGGTACTGACCATACCTCCCTCTTACCAGCATTGTATATTGGTAGTATAAATGTGTGACTGGAAATGGTTGGCTGGCATCCTGTTTAAAAATTTACAATGTCATAACCTAGTTTTAAGACCTCATAAACTCTGCTGTTCAGATTTATGATTGTGGCACCTTTGCCATAATTACAAATGTTGCCTAAACCCCACCTTAAAAGCCAGGAAACTGCACGCCAATTGAAGGAGTTATGTGGTGCTGGCAAGGAGTACACTTAAAGTTGATAAATCCAGTTTCCTCTCCTATGCAAGGTGGTTGTAACAACTCTACAGGCTGTTTGTCACACCATGATGTTTTGGTGGCAGTAGGTTGGACATGCCATCCTCCATTGCCCTGCTGCCCACCACCACACAACTTCTTCATTTGATATGGCCAACAAGAGATGACTCATAGCTGTGCCTTCATAGCTACGTCTCCCATGCAGGATCACAGATGATTCTTTTCTTGGTTTTTACCAATTGAGGCATTGGATATATAGTCAAGGGAAGCCCAGTTATCTTTGACGAATGGCAGCATCAGTGACTCTGTTTGGTGTCCCTTTTTCACTGTGTCTTTTTAGTTGGTCTGTCCAGAAACAAGGTAAATAAAAATACATGCATATTGAAAGATGATGATCTTATACAGCTAATAGATGGTTCTTTGCAATAAGACTAGATATACCTGTTTCCTGGATATTGGATAAAATCATATAAGCAATGGATATTTTCAAACGTATCTGTGGCATATGAAAATTAATTTATTAATGTATAGGCTAATTGGAAAGGTGAAACAGCAGGCTACAAATGGCTAATAACATCAAAGGTATCTCATATGCATTAAACCACATAAAAATGAGGAGAAATTGACTTTTTCCTTGATATATGGCTTGTGTCCAAAAAAAAGGTAATGTAATTAATACACTTCTAAAATTTAAAATGTGACACTTTCATACATTATTATAACTGAAATTAGAAGTCAGAAGATGGCTTCAGCCATCTAGATGACATAAAAAGCTTAAACCATTAATCAGAATGGACTGTCAAGTGGATATACACTTTCAAAAACTCATAATGAAATCTTGCAATCTTATATGTTAGTGATTTGCAGACTTTTATCTCTTGGCCTGCCAGTCCACCTGCACTGTATTTGTGTGACAACTTCTTTGTTTCCTGACATAACTCCAATTTAACAATGTAATATGCTATAGTATAACAGTGTAACTCCAGTGTAATCTGCCAATCATATAAACAATTTGTCAGTAAAATCATCATTATAATCTGACTCAAATCTTCCCATGTAGCCAAAATTGGACCACCCCCAAAAGAAGGAGTCCTTGGTAGGGTCAGTAATCTACTGGATATTGTAATGTGTGTTGCAGGGACCACTTGTAAACAAATAATGCTGGAGGCAAGCTGATCATCTTGTATGATTTAACATGGTAGTTGCTTCTACATAGTGATGTTGCCTGCAGGTTACATATCCCATATATACAACGCCTTTGTTTGAGAATCTTTTCAGATACATGTGTAGTTATTTTGTTATATTATTCTGTATTAGATTATAGAGGCTATGCTTATTTTTATCACTCTACTGTGTTGTGCTCTCTCTGTCAAGCAGCAGCTACAAACAGAAGAAATTAAAGATAAGAGTCAAGTGTGCTTGCTACATGAAGACAAATTTTCTTTCACTAAAATGCAGAAGTTCAGAGCTTTTATGTTAGGGTTTCTTACTTGAGCAGTCATGGCAATCATCATATGCCTGCAAATCAAAGCAGTCAGGTTTGATTTATGATTTATTGTTCTTCCTGGCAATTATATGAATGTTGATGTAAAATTATCTTAGTAAATATTTTTGTTCAACTTGATTTTGAATTATAGAAAAATCTCACTCTTATTAATGTTTATTAAATCAAACTTGTAGATCAAAAGTAAAAAAGCTTTTCTTTTACATGGTATAATGTGCGAATTGTCTTTCTGTTTCTAAACTCTTCCATTTCTGATCAGTGAATGTGATTTCCACAAAAGTTTTGATTGATAGAAATAGCCAAGTAGTATGTGTGGTGAAAGGTTTTTGCATTTAAACTTCATTTTATTATTCTTATTTAAATTAGTGTTAGTGCAGCTTAAATTATATCTAAAAAATTTAGTTTGTGCTTTCTTTATGAAATAAACTCAAAGCATCTGACACACACAAATATATAAAATACTTAAGAACAGCATAAGCTATGTTCCACCAAAGACTTGATGCTAGTACTTGGATTCTCTGTTGCCTTTGTGCACTGGGTTGGTTCTCTTCTGTATCTATTTATTCTGATTTTATTGTTATATTGCACATTCTTGTTTCATCTTGCCATATTTGTGGTGAGGAACATGTGGCCTTCTGAATGATATTGGACTCTGATCAGCCTTAGAGAGTATATCTGTAGTGTGGCTCAAGTATTATTTGTACACCTGTCCAGCTATCCTGTGTACATTAAGCCATGTCACAAATAACCGTTTATTAAAAAAAAATACACTCAACTACATTGTGAGTTATCGTTATACCTGCAATACATGCTTAGCACATTAGCTGTATGTTTTTATAGTTTTTGCTGTAGAAGCCAACCTTAAATATTTGGTCTTCCTGGAACCTGGTGTGGTTTAAAACAGGCTGACTGTGACTTCTTAGATGGCTAGTTTTGAATTGAATAGTGTAGTTCAAGAAGTCAGTGCTACTATTGTTCACAGATATGTGGAGAGGAAAAGGTTGATTATGTGCATGTAGATTATTTTAATATATATGGAGGTGAGAATTTGTAGAGATTGTTCTAGTGATTTTAGTAGATTGTGACTCAGTATCCTCAAGCCAGGGTGGCATAGTTGTTTGACTGTTGGACTAGGACTCTGGAGACCAGGGTTCAATTCCCAGCCCGGAAACCTGGGAGACCTGCTCGGTGACCTTGGACAAGTCACACTCTCTCAGCCTGAGGTGATGGCAACGGCAACCCCCCTCTAAAGAAACCTGTCAAGAATACCCCATGACAACCTTATGGAGACCTTAGTGTTGCCATAAGTTGGAAACGACTTGAAGGCACACAACAAATGTCACAAATCCTCAAGTGACATAGCTGTAAGTTTTAGTAAACAGCAGTGATACCTCCATAGTTGGTGTTGTGTAAGCCTCTCTTAAATGAACTGCAGTTTCACTTCATCAGTTGTTCATCAGATTGTGCCTTGCCTGTTGTTTTTCATTTTCAGGAGAAGTTCTGGCTTGTGTGAAAGTGTGATATTTTCTTCATTTGTGAGTCTTGCAGAAAGAAGGAAATAAAAATTTCCATTGCTGTCTATAGAGTTTCAGAAGTATTAGATAGAAATCCAGCTTTGATAAACTGGAAGTCATGAAATATTGAAATCCAGTGTAAGTTTGTTTCATTACATAGAGCCATCAGCATATATTTTAAAGTAGCATACAGTAGAGCTTTTTAGTGATGTAGTAAAGCCCTCAGCACATTGAACTTAATAAGCAGCATGTTTTCAAGCTGTTCTTTTTTTTTTTTTTTTTTTTTACTAAATTGACATTTTAATTGTCTTTTTAACCTTTGTATGAATAAATTTTAAAACTTCACCATGTTTTCTAACTGTGGAAACTGCCTTAGAACTTTTATGAGGAGAAAGCTGGGAAATAAATAAATAAAAATATTTTTATTGAATCTTAGTCCCCATATCAATATAGATTGTCTCGTTCTAGTGTTATTAAATGTTGTTAAACTTGAGGGATTGGGATTGATGGTTAAAGATTTTTTTAATGGATTATGCAATCTGTGCTCTCACAAGAGCTAATTTCTGGAATTTATATTTTAAGTGATATATACAAGGGTTTCTTAAGCTGTCTGATGTGATGGACTGCAGGTCACCATATTTGTGTTCATTGTCCACTATTGTTTCTTTCATTCTGTATTGTGGACCGGCAACTAATGGCTTGCAGACTGGCACTGGTCTACAGACCACCACTTCGGGTAGCACTACTATATGCAACCTTTAATGAGTCCTTCATTTCACATGTGTCCAGGCAGTTACTTCATACCTAACAGAGTTTTTAAAATTATTTTTAAAGCAATACACTTTGTTTTATACTAGTGTAATCATAAAGGGGTAGGCAGCAAGATGTTAATAGAAAGGAATGAGGAAGGAAATCAGTACAACAGTGGTTTCATTTTCATTGGTTAAATATGAACTGCTTTTGGCTTTAAAGGACAGACAACACAGAAAACGTTAACAAGATGCCCCACAGAGAATTGGCATCTCTGTTGTGGCACTCTCATAACGGAATGCCCTTCCCTTAGTGTGTCTGTGTGGGTGTGCAGGTAAAGGTAAAGGTAAAGGTATTCCTCATTGACAAGGTTATCAAGTCATGTCCAACTGTAGGTGGCGGTGCTCATCTCTGTTACTAAGCCAAAGAGTCACCATTGTCACAAGACTACTCTGTGATCAAGTGGCCAGCATGATTGTACAGAATGCTGTTTACCTTCCCACCGAAGTGGTACCTATTGCATGCTTTCGAACTGGTAGGTTGGCAGACGCTGGGACTAGTGACAGAAGCTCACCCCATCATGCCGCATCTGAGCCTCAAACTGCCAACCTGCTGATCTTGCAATCAACAGAGTCATAGTCTTCACCACTTGTGCTGTTGCATCTGTGTGTGTGTGTGTGTGTGTGAGAGAGAGAGAGAGAGAGAGAGAGACATTATTTTACTATGCCATTATATTTAATGGGACTTGAGTATCCAGAGATTTTGGTATCCACAGGATGTCCTGGAACCAAACCTCAGCAGATACCAAGGGCCCACTCTTTGAGTTGGGAGTACAGTCTTTTTATGTTTGCTGTGACTGAAATATATGGACACTAGGTTGCAAACATAGGTGTGACAATACTATTACCAGTATGTAATAGTAGTACATAATCAGTGTGACATTCAAATTATAGTTGGTGTGGAAAACTGAAGCTGAATCTTCAACTCTGGAAATAATTTTGTTCTATCATGTTTGTACCTCTTATGTAGGATGACAAGGAAGCCAGCAATCTCATGCCAAACAATGGAGACCATGGCTTGGTTCCTGGAAATGACAGATTCAAACCTGTGTTACCTTGGCCTCATGTTGAAGGTGTGGAAGTAGACTTGGAGGCAATTCGGCGAAGGAATAAAGCCAAAAATGAAGGGAATCCTCTTGCTGGTGGAAGTAATGATCAGCAAAACATCATGGAGCGACAGTATCTTACATTTAAGCCACAAACACTTACCTACCATGATCCTGTATTACGTCCTGGAATTCCTGGTAATTTTGAACCCAAAGAACCTGAACCCCATGGAGTTGTAGGTGGTCCTGGTGAGGAAGCCAAGCCATATGTTTTAGGACCAGAATATAAAGAATCTGTTCAAGCCAGCATTAAAGAATTTGGGTTTAATATGGTAGCAAGTGATATGATCTCACTAGATCGAAGCATTAATGACCTACGTCAAGAAGAGTAAGTACCTGTTAAGTGCCTCTTTTTATAGTATTTTTCATGGTATAGGGTACTTTCACTTTTATGTTTATAGTAATTTCTGGAGGTATCATGATTGGACTATTCCATTTTCAACTTGTTATGAATATGGTTTTATCTGATTTTTAATTTTGTATACAGTCGCCCCTCCATTTTCGCGGACTTGGAAGTTGAAAATGGAGTATGTTACTTACAATGATATTTAAAATTCATGTGACTCACAGTATTGTATTCTTAGTGTTGGTTAGTGTTTTTTTCTCTAAATAAAGCAATGGTATAAGCTATCCCCAGTTCATCTCTTCCATTGTTTTAGGAGAGTTGTAAGCACATGATTAATCCTCCTGTTGAAATCAGTGGAAAAAGCATGACTTGATTATGACACACTAACACAATCTTAATATTCTTATTTAATATTATGAGTAGTATAGCAGGCATTCAGATAATGAGTAATAAATTAATGATGTTAAGGCACATTTGATGTGAAATTATTTTTCTCTGTTCAGTGGGTAAAAGCTGGCTTGCTGCTATAGAAAGGTTTACATAACCCTTTCTATCCTTTTATATTGCTTGCTGTTTAAAATATAGCCTTTTCTGAACCTGATCCCAGAGAAGTAGCTGTTTTAATTACTCACCAAAAGAAACAGGACATTTTGTTTTATCAAATTGATTAAGCCTTTTGTGGATTAGAGTCCAGTTCATCAGATGCATGAATTGCAATCTCAAATTGGTGGACAGATACATCCATGATGGGTGCGGGTGGGTAGAGATTTGTGAGTGCAGACAGAGGTTCAGTGCAAAGAGAACAGTGGCCAGTCAGTAAAAGCAAAATAATTGGGTAACTGTTAACAGAGCAGTGTTGATGATCAAACAGATGCCATTTTCACAAAGGAGTTCTCCAATTTAGAATGGCTACTTTAAGCTAGTAGGAGAACATCCTGTGGAGTTGAAAAGTTCTCCTCCTTATTTCTGACAGTCACAGTGTTTCATGTCTGTCTATTCCTTTGCATGGAAACTGGGATTTTTCCATTCTGTGCAGATAACAGAAGGACATTACTGACAGATGACAGTATATATTATGTTGCCTTTTGACATTATAGCTGAACCTACTCTCTTAATTCATGCAAAGCGAATGCCTTATTACTAAGCACTGCCCTTCTTCCATCATTATAATAATGATTGCACCCAGGGATGGGTTACTTAAACTATGTAGGGTAAGAAGTTCAGGTGTCTGGCATAATCTCTTTTGACACTTTGTGCAAAATTATGGTCTTCTCTTTTGCTTTTATGTCACGTAAGACAAAAATCGAACCGTAGATTGGCTCAGAAGAAGCATCATAGCTCAGTGTTTGAATACATATTTGGTGTACTGGAAGTCCCAGGTTCAGTCCTTAACATCTCTGGGTAGAGCTGGGAAATATTCAGACTCAGGGTAGACAATACCAAGTTGAATGGACCAACATTTTACATGTGGTTAAGATAAATTCTTATGCACTTTGGGGTGTTCATAAATTGATTTATTAAAACTGCTCTGCTGTGGCACTGTTTGGTGAAGGGTACCTGCTGATAAGGAGCAGAGAGACTTTACTGCTCTGGAATTCCAGACTATGATAACTGCATTTTTTCGATCTTTCCTAAACTAGGCTCAACTATGATGCATTCTGTTCTCTGTGTTAAGAGAATAATGGAAACTTTATCCTAGTATCTCTAAATGTGATCTATGTACCAGACTAGGATAAGCATGTTAGTTCATTTGGCACACATTAAAAGATAAGGGGAAGGGGAACAGTTGAGATGCCAGATGGAGACAGGAATATCTGATAATGTGTTCCTCTAACAACTGCGTTAAGACTTGGAAGTTCTGTAGAATGAGTCTTTACTTGGTGGAGTAGCAGTACAAAAGATTTCACACAAGGTGGCAGCATGCATCAAGTTTTCAGGAAAGCACACTTTCTAAAATGAATCGTATATAAAAAACATTTCCTTGTTTATATCCAGAATTAAAGCTCTTCCCATGTAACTTAAGTTATTCTTAATTATTAATAAACAGAAGGCACATTCTGACCTGTCTTGTAACTTTACCCATCTTGTTGACTCTTGATTCCAACTGAGATATATGAATCATTACATGTTTTGAGGCAATAAATAGTGAATAGTGTCAGCTTTCTGGCAGTTCCTAACTGCTTATAGGTAAAGGGGTCCACAAATTTTATATCAGCTTGTTAGCTAAAATCTGGGGAACATTTCATATCTGGCTAATGACTAGCAGTGTTCATTTTGAAAGCAACGATTTGGCATTCTTATCAGTATAGACTATAGCAGGGGTAGGCAACCTTTTTGAGCTGGGGGCCGGGTTGCTGTCCCTCAGACAATTGGGGGGCCGAAGCACCCAAAAATAA